ACAACTATACTTCAAATGTCAACTGTCAATATTAACTGTCAATATATAACGTATACTATGCACAGTCATTAAATTTCATTGTTAAGTTTGTAAGAATCAAGTTAACTAAATTATAATCCATTAATAAATGATTCAAATATGAAGACACATATGTTTATGGCTCGTGTGTGAACGCTTTCATTTCAACACTAAATATTGATGCNNNAGTTAAAGAAAGTTACCTGATTTTATATGAAACCAAATTATTATTGTTTTCTTATTGGTTTTAGTAGGTTGGTAACATGTCACTTAATTTAAACGTCAACTGTCAGCTGTCAATGAATACAACTATACTTCAAATGTCAACTGTCAAATTTAGCTGTCAATTTATAACGTATACTATGCATTAAATTTCATTGTTAAGTTTGTAAGAATCAAGTTAAATAAGTTCTAAGCCATTAATAAATGATTCAAATATGTTTATAGCTCGTGTGTGAACGCTTTTCTCTCAACACTAAATATTGATGCAGCAATTACGAGTGAAAACACGTGAAAACGCAATAAAAACAGTCCATTAACATCGAATCACCAAAACCTCTGGAAGTTCATTATCGACCTAACAATCTGCTAAGTAAGCCATCATTGATATTTTAATACCATAAAATTGGCACAGAAACAAAAGCATTCTACGTTCAACGCCTAATTAATTCCAAAAACCTCATTACAACAACAAAAACGACGATGACCAAGAGAATTTGCATATTACTGCCCATAAACAAGACTTCTAGAACCACACGCTTCAACACTCCCCAAAAACTAAATCAAATCTGACGTTTACGACATTGACACTCGTAAATTCATCGGCGCTAATTTGCTACAGAAAGTTGGCAAGAGTTTACGACTGAAGCGGATGAATCATCTTTAGTTCATCTTTAAATTGATCCATTTTTTTTAGATCACCTAAAAGTAAGAAATATGATTACTCACCGATCGTCGTGTAAATTGTGCTGCAGTAAACAACGGCGTTCCAAAACGTCCAGATCTTCGGGCCGTGATTCGCGACAATTAGCTGATGGTTCTTGTACGCTTCGATCACGTAATCCTCGAAGTCCTGAATCTTCGCCGTTGCTATTCCGTGCCATTCTCCCACAGATTTATCCCGAGGAATCTCTATGGATAAGTTTCTCAATTCTTCGATTAACACCGTCCTCTTCGCTCTGATGTCGATCTCCACTATTTTCTCCTCGATGCTACCTGAAATGTATTTAATTGGAATTAGTGCGTCAGGGGTTTTCGCTTGAAACGAATGTATAAATATAAGTCAATTGGCTGTTAGATTTAATGAGCCGATCATCCTATTTCCAAATCCATTTCGACGTTCCGCCAAATTATCCACGAAAACAGAGCTCATTTTTCAAAAAAAAAATTCTATTTCGAGATCATTACCTTCAATTAACAAACCAACAAGTAATTTAAACAGTTATTATTTAGTTTTTAATTAATTAAATTAGTCTTAATTAATAATGTGTATATTAATTTGAATTTGGCGCGCTTATTTTAACACTGTCCAGATCTAGGTAATTTTTCAGTAAAATTTATAATATATTTAAATAAACATTAAATATGTTATTCGTTCATGACATGTCAATTTTACTGATGACAATTGATGACAGTTGACTTTTTGACATTATATCAGACAAAACAAATTTTATTAAACTGACAATACTTTTTTCTTTCATTAATTATTACTAGTAAAAGTTAATAAATTTGTACATTTACTAACAAAAACTTAAAGAGGACAAAAAATGTTTGGAAACACTGAGCAAACGATATTTTTTGGAAAACTTAAATAAACATTAAATATGTTATTCGTTCGTGACATGTCAATTTTACTGATGACAATTTATGACAGTTGACTTTTTGACATTATATCAGACAAAACAAATTTTATTAAACTGACACTAATGTCAATTGGAGTACAATTACTAATCAGAAATTGTATAACAAGAAAAATATTTAATGAATGATTAAATTACATAATTTACATCATACATGCAACATCAAACGTCACTTCGAAAAATTGCCAACGTTACGTCACAAATTCTATAACATATTTTGTTGTATTCACGTAGGTGGACAAACGTCACTGACCGTCTAGCATTTTCGTGTTGCCAAGAAAAGTAATATTTTGGTTTTGCATACTTCTACATTTTTTTTTTAAATAAATCGATACATTCAGTAATATTTGTAATATTATCTAACAAATCTTAAATTTAACATCGTGATTTTTATTTTGAAAAAAAAAGTTACCTAATTTAAAATGAAACTAAATTATTATCATAATTACTTTCCTATTGGTTTTAGTAGGTTGGTAACATGTCACTAAATTCAAACGTCAACTGTCAGTTGTCTATGAATACAATTATACTTCAAATGTCAACTGTCAATATCAGCTGACAATTTATTTATACACTTCAAACTTACATATTATAAAGTAAAATCAATTACTGATCAACTCAAAACTCTTAATATAAGTAAATTATGGATAAACAAATTTAAGATCGTTGCGCATCTCTGGTTGCATAACGATAATCCAGAACCGTAACGATCGGATCGACGAAGCGTGAGACTACATAAACTTAAAGAGTTTGTGCTCTCTCGATACCCAATAAAAAAAGAAACGAAGAAGAAAAAGCGAAGAATCTAAAATAAACTGAGTCATAAAAGCAAATGTATCGCCTAAACAATTTACACGACAATTCAAATCGTTTCCAAAACACAGACACAAAATAAAAATACAAACACTCCGTGGAAAAAAACCAGTAACCGGAGATGCCAACCAAATTTTTTTTTATTTTCACACACATCTATATTTTTTTTGTTGCAAATGCAATTGCCAAAAAACACGTTTGGAATCCTGCTCTTATTTACTTATTTTCGTGTCTACAATTCTGTACGACACGAATTAGAAAATCGCGGTGTGCATTTCAAAACATAATAAACTTTTGGACAATTGTACGATAAAATGTCTGGCGATTAAATAATTTTGGCAAAGACTAGATCAAAAAAAAAGGATGCTTTCATTCAGCGCAACGCGACTATAAATACGGATTAATGTGACTGGTTTATTTCGTTTAAATTATTTATAAATATATATGTTTTTTTTTAATAAAAGAAAAAAATTCTTCGCGACTTGTAATAATTATAAATAGATTTTATTTCAGGGACACCAGAGCAGCATAATTCTATCTAATAAATAAATAATGATAATACAAGTTCAAGCCTTATCAAAAACACAGAGAAATTCCAATTTGGAGCAGTGATTGCAATTTTATGAAACCATAAATTCTCGCAATATTTCATTACCCAAACAATTGGTCTCGCATTTCGTTTGTTTCCTTCGTTATTCACCTTTAATTGAATGCGTTCTCGTTCATTTATTTTATTTTACGAATAATGCACAGTTTTAAACGAAGTTAATTATAATTGAATGCAAAATGAGTTTTTTTTCCTCACAGGTTTTCATTGGAATTTACGTTTAAACAAAAACTGCTGAGCGATTGTTTTCGTTCAAGGTCACGTATAATTTTTAATTCTGGAGTTCTTCAAGGCAACTTTCTTGTCCCTATCTACAAAAAAATCTCTTGTTTATTGACTTTTCCATTATTATAATACAATTTTTATATAAGATTTATATTTTATTCAAATTTTCAAGTATTAATAACTTCATTTTTCTTAAATTTATTTACTTTATAATATATTTTTACAAGATAATATGATATAATTTTTTATTTACAAGACTGAAATAAAGAAATTTTGATTTTTTTTGGTAATAAAAAAAATCAATCAGAAAAAACTTTTAGAAATGACCTTAAGATTTGAATGAGCAACATTAAGCGTGTTTATTTTAGACTTTATTATGTGTTTCAATAAGTTCATCATAGAAGCAACAACAAAAATTTTGAATTTTCAATTCAATCAGAAAAAAAAACTTTTAAAAATGATCTTGAGATTTCAATGAGCAATAAATGGATAATGCATGAAACACGAAATTACGCGTGTTTATTTTACACTTTATTACGTGTTTCAATAAGTTCCTTATGGAAGCAACAGCAACAGCAAAAAGCGCATCAGAAGTAAAGTAAATCTTTCAGTCTGTTCGAGTTTACGCGCTCGCAAATAGACCAGTTTTCAATTAATTTAACGATGCAAAAACATCGTCTTCCATTTCGCCCACATGATTTATTCATTTAGTTTTCATATGTAGATGAAAACTTTTTTTTCTTCCAGCTCTTTTCATGAATTATGCCCGTAGTAAACGTGACGCTTTTACGGCGCTAGATTTCACGAACAAAATCGTGTTTCGTTCAAGTTTTTATTGATAATTTCATTGGCTTTACATTAAGTTTACAACTTTTTAAGTTTATTGATGCTAAACTCCGGACCGTACATAAAATTGCATTACGCAATTTAGTTTAATTTTTTTTGTAGAAAATAGTCGCTTTTCCATTTTAAGACGATGATGAATTTTGAGAAACAAAAATAATTATAAAAAAAATACAATACTTTTTCTTTCATTAATTATTACTAGTCAAAGTTAATAAATTTGTACATTTACTAACAAAAACTTAAAGAGGACAAAAAATGTTTGGAAACACTGAGCAAACGATATTTTTTGGAAAACTCAATTGAGTTTTCTAATGTTGGGAAAGCTAAATGTACTAAAACTGAATTAAGAAACATTGATCGTTGTTTCGTTGGAAAAGTAATAACAAAAGCAATAAAGGAAATGTCAGAAGAAAATAATTGAAGCAAAAGGAGTTCCCATATGTTTAATGGTTTGTGATCCCCGTGGAAACGAGTGGGAAAAGCAAATGTCATCTGCATAGCAGACAGAACTAATCTGTGGATCAGGGAAACGCATCGAGCGGAAAATTGTACAGTTCCATGAAGATATTACATTATAACATAAAATTACAAAGAAAGAAATAATTAATTACGAATTACTGTATGAAAACGTTTACAAAATAAAATTTTGATACAATTTTAATTTTTTAAATTGAGACTATTATGAATAAATTTCCTTTTTAAATAGTAGAATTATTGAAGCGATGGTAACACTATAAATTTTATAAGGAAATGAAATGCAAATTAGTTTCGTAAAAAGAGATTTTCGCTGCGAAAGTTTCTTCCCTCACTTTTGTGAATCCTAATTAAGAAACTAGTTTAAAGTGAATGCCTTTTTATCTCTTCACTCACACACTCAAAAAAAAAAACGAAAAGGAGACAAGTTTTCTGTATGTATAATTTTAACACCATTTATATTTGAACGTGCCTGCAAAAAGTTCACAAAACTGTTGTAAAATAAGCAGAAATCGTTAAACTCACTTCATAATTATTTGAACGCAAACTTTGTTACTTGAGATTAATGTTAATTGTTTTGTTAATTAAAGCAAAACAATGAAAAGTATTTAAAAATATAGATTATTTAAATATTTCAATAATATTTTTTTTGTATCAATTAATAATACATATTTTGTATACTAAACAAATTTGTATACATCAAAATTTGTAAATAAGAAATTAACACGAAAATATTATTGTAACACGATTCTTTTAATAAATATTTGCTAAAATTTTCTATACTAATGAGTATATACTTAATTTATCTTATCTTAAAGTTTGTTACGTGTAAAAATTTAATTATTTATTCATGAAAAACAACAATCTAATTAAAATACTAGAAATATTAAAAAAAAAATGGAATAATTTACTTAAATTTTAAGTGGGTTCGTTGAAAATGCCAACCAATTTGCATATTTATACTAATTTAGTATAGCGTTTTTTAAGTATTTCCAAAAAACGAAAAATCTTGTTTTTGAACAAAATATATTGTTAAATTTTTTTTGACTTATTTCGAAAAAAAAAAAGAAAATTTGTTTTGTTTTACTCAACTTTGACAGCTTGTAACAAATGAACAATATATAGCACAAATTATATAGTAGGCTCGTTGGAAAAACCGTAATTTTGTTTTTAATTCACGTATGCAATAAGTTAATTGGCAAGCGTTGTTATCGAATAATTAAATAAAAAGTGTAGACGTTACAACAAATTAAAAAAAAATGATCATATCTCAATAAGATCCTCATAGAAGCAACAACAATTTTGAATTTTCAATTCAATCAGAAAAAACTTTTAAAAATGACCTTGATATTTGAATGAGCAATAAATATATTGTTGCAAAAATTTTGAAATATTTTGAAATTTTTTTTGACGTATTTTGAAAAAAAAGAAAAATTGTTTTGTTTTACTCAACTTTGACAGCTTGTAACAAATGAACAATACATACCACAAATTAGATAGTAAGCTCGTTGGAAAAACCATAATTTTGTTTTTAATTCGCGTATGCAGTAATTTAATTGGCAAGCGTTGTTATCGAATTATTAAATAAAAAGTGTAGACGTTACAACAAATTTAAAAAATTATCATATCTCAATCACTAGTTATCATTACGTAAAAATAGTTATATCCAAAAAATATTCTTTATACGAACGATTTGGATATATACAAAGTTTTATAGATTTTGAATAATTTTACAAATTTTCAAAAAAATATTGATAAATAATTTTCCAATTTTTTGTAACTATTTTTATATTTAATTATTATTTAATAATTTATAGATAATTTTTCTTGTGTATATGTAAAATTTGTATAATTGTAATGTAATGAAAAAAAATGTCTTTTGAATACTTTTTCGAAAATTTTGATTTGGACTATGATTTTAATGATTTCTTAATTTTGTTACCAAATGACTGTGGAATTCAATTGATAGTTTCTTAAATTTTTTACCAAATATCTGTTGTTTTGACTACTAAATATATTAATATAAATTTTCCTAAATGTAGTTGAAAATTGAAAGATTTGAGACTTTCTTCAATTTATCGTTTACCTTCGACAGTTTGAAACATCAGAGCACCTCCGACGGTGTACGCAACGATGACGAAGGTGAGGAAGATGTGCGTGAACCACCGTTTGCTCCACGAGCTCACTTTGTTGTATATCCAGAAAGCACTTTTCTCACCAATTCCCAATCCCGACTTTGCCGTGCTCATCGTGAAATCCCTTATACCGTTGAACTGATTGAACATGAAATCGGATGCGCCCTTCTGGCCACGATGCGCCGCACCAGGTGGGACACCCATATTCAAACTGGACACACCGCTGTGAGCGCTGTACGGACCACCACCACCCTGAAAACCAGCGAACTGCCCCTGCGGCGGAGGGATGTACAGGGTCGGAGGTGCCCAGCCCAGCTGCTTCCTGGGCCTCACCTTCGGAGAGGCCTGCGTCGAAGACATGGGGGACGTCTCCGAAGACATCACAACCAATCTCCTCTCAACAACACCAGCAACAATAACTTATATAATAACAACAACACCCAGATGGATGGATGAATTCAATGAACTTCAGCACAACATCGACGAACCACTGGCATACTTTGCACATAGCTCCGGTCCGCAATGCGTTTCGCGTTTGTAACTCTCCGCATGTGACGGAGCGCGTCTAATCGCACCGGAGCGTCGGGACGCCAGGCGTCGCGTCCTGCCACCGCCGCTTTCTCTTTCCTTGCCCACGACGTCCAAACAACACGCAAAAAAATAGAAGAAAACAACAAAATCTAACGCAAGAAAATTATAAATAATCCCTCTTTGTTTGTCTCTCGAGATTTTTTTTGGGGACTACTTGTATTCAGTTTATTTCTCGCGTTGTTTTCTTACGAATCGTCTCGCCACGACTGCTGACCTTTTTATAGAAGATCAGTAGCCACTGTGTGCGTTATCTCTCGTTGAACGCCACTCGACAACTGAAATGACCAAGAAAACAACGACTTCCACAAATACGTATTTCTGTGTAAACATGTAATTTCATATAATTCGAAGAGAAATGATGATAAATATACTTAATAGTACTCGAATTTTGCATCTTACGTAACTCATCTGGCGCCATCATCGTCTTGGTAAAATTAGACACCTCTGTGACAAGCGAAACGTCGTGTCGCTCTGTCATCTCCGTTCAAACATTATCAGTTTTTATATGTCTTCAAATTCATATTTAATCTGTTACTTTTAGTAAAAAAATCTTCTATTCATTATCTTAGTCAAAATGACCTACATAAAACCTAACCTAATAAAACTTTTTTCAATATACATCTGTCATTTAAAACGTCATTAACGTCAATGTCATTAGTTAATGAACTATAGAATATTATTAATTATTAACTAATTACAGTATATTGAAAAAAAAATCCATTGAAGTAATTTATAGAAAAATATGTTATTACTATTTTAATGTAATATTTCTCATGATTCTCTAGTAAATGTAATACATAAAAATAGTTGAAATTAGTTCACTTCCAAAGATAACATTTCTTCGGAAAAGTTGACACTTTGGGACTTGATGATAAAGTGATTGCAAATTCTGCGAATCCTTAGCAATCGCAGTGTAAAAATAACCGAAGAGAATCACCAGGACACGGAATCACCGTTTCTGGATTTACACAATTTAAAAAAAGGAAAAAGTATTTTAAAAAATCATCAATTTTATAAAATTTGTTGTTGTAAACAAGAGTTGTTATAATTTAAATAGTATTGATCTATTTATTGCATTTTCAAGTCCATTAAAACCGTGACAAAACAGTCGTATAATTTAAGAAACATGTGGATGGATGCATATGAAATGGGAAGTGACAAAGTAAACTTTGTTTTTGGTTCGGGATAAGTGATTTTTGTTTTCTAATTCGTCTGCTCTTTTCTCGCTCTTTCTCACATTTGAATTAAGAGCGAAATATTTGTGTTATGTCTATAAACAAATGATTCAGCTATTTCAGAGCATTTATATCGGTGCATCACAGGGAAATATTTTTAGGAAAGTGCACTCGAAATTACAATAAAACCGACACTTTACGACGCCAATCAAAACTGTTGCAAATATTACCAACGTTTTCAAACGAATGGTAAACTTTAACATTTTGCTATCTTGATATCAATTTATTTCAACTTATTTCATTTTATTTGCAAGTTATATTAACTGATTTCAACTTATGTCAACTTATCTCAACTAATGACCACTGATATCAACTTATGTCAATTAATTTTACATATTTCAAGTTATGTCAACTAATGACTGATATCAAATTGTGTCCATTAATTTCATCTGATTTGAACTTATATCAATTGATGTCAATTAATTTAAACTTATTTCAAGTTATGTCAACTGCTTTCAACTTATGTCAAGCGATTTCAATTAATTTCAACTTAATTCAAGTTATATCAACTGATATCAACTTATATCCAATGTCCATTAATTTTAACTTATGTCAACTGCTTTCAACTTATGTGAACTCATCTTAATTTATTTAAACTGAAGTCCACTGATGATAAGTTATGTCAATTAAATTTAACATTTTTCAAGTTATGTCAACTGATGTCAATTTATCTCAATTAATTTAAACTAATTTCAAGTTATGTCATCTGATATCAACTGAAGTCCACTAATGACAACTTATGTCAATTTATTTCAACTAATTTCAAATTATGTCAACTAATATAAACTTATGTACACTGAAGTCCATTGATGAGAACTTACGTCAATTAATTTCAACATTTTTCAAGTTATGTCAACTGATATCAACTGAAGTCCACTG